ATGCCTTTTAAATGTTGTAATTGTACTAGTCTCCACTACTTCCTCTGACAGCTCATTCCATACATGCACCACCCTCTTTGTGAAGAAGTTGCCCTGTAGATCCCTTTTAAATCTTTCCCCTCTCACCTTAAACCCATGTCCTCTACTTTTGGACTCCCCTACTCTTTGTGGTGGGGTTGGGGGGGAAAGACTCTGGCTTTTCACTTTATCCATGCCTCTCATGGTTTTATAAACCTCTATAAGGTCACTCCGCAACCTCTGTTGCTCCAGGGAAAATAGCCCTGACCTATTCCACCTCTCCCTACAGCTCAAACACTCCAACCCCAGCAATATCCTTGTAAATCTTTTCTGTACCCTTTCAAGTTTCACAATATCTTTCCTATAGCAGGGACACCAGGACTGAATGCAGTATTCCAAAAGTGGCCTAACCAATGTCCTATACAGCTGCAACTTGACATCCCAATTCCCATACTCAATGCACTGAACAATAACGGCAAGCATACCAAATGCCGCCTTCGAGATAGTAAGAACTGCAGATGCTGGAGTCAGAGATGAGTGTGGAGCTGGAGGAACACAGCAGGCCAGGCAGCATCAGAGGAGCAGGAAAGTCGATGTTTCGGGTTGGGACCTGAAGAAGGGTCCTGACCCGAAACGTCAACTTTCCTGCTCCTCTGGTGCTGCCCGGCCTGCTGTATTCCTCCAGTTCCTCACTGTGTTATCGCCGCCTTTACTTCCCTTTCCTCCTATGACTCCACCTTCAAAGAGCTATGAACCTGCTCTCTAGGTTCTCTGGTTTTACTGCCCAGGACCTTACCTTTAAGTGTGTAAGTCCTGCCCTGATCTGCCTTTCCAAATTTATCTATCACATTTATCTAAAATAAACTCCATTTGCCACTCCTTAGCCCATCTGATCAAGGTTTACATGCAACATACACAAGTGAACCTTGATTCTCATCACTATGATGAAATCTAATCCTGAAGTGAGGGACATCCACCACTAATCCTACTGAAATTGTTCTGCTGAGCTACTTTAAAGAACCTTAAGTATTCATCTAATAACTATATATTGCCTTTGTGCATGTTGTGTGAGTTCGTATTGACCATCTTTGATCTTCACTGTAATAAATGTCATCTGTGTGTATTACATGGGAATATAAATAGGAGCAGGAGTAGGCCATTTGGCCCTTCGAGCCTACTGTGCCATTTAATATGATCATGGCTACTCAATATCCTTTCCTGCTTTTACACAATACTCTTTGATCCCTTTAGCTCGAAGAACTAAATCGAAATCCTTCTTGTAAACTATTCAATATTTTGGCCTCAACTGCATTCTGTGGCAGAGTATTCCGCAGGCCCACCGCTCTCTGGGTGAAGAAATTTCTTGTCCTTTCAGTCCTAAATGGCCATCCCCATATCCTTAGTCTGTGCTCCTTGGTTCCAGACTCCCCAGTCGTCAGGAAGATCCTGCATTTACCCTGTCTAGACCTGTTAAAATTTTATAAGTTCCTATGAAATACCACCCCCACATCCCCAATCTTCTAAATTCTAGTGAATTATAGTTCTAACTGATCCAGTTTCTCTTCGTACATCAGTCCTGCCATCCCAGGATTCAATCTGGTAAACCTTTGATGCTCTCATTCTACAGCTAGAACATCTTTCCCCAGATAAGGAAATCAAAACTGCACATGATACTCCACGTGTGGTCTCACCAAGCCCCTGTACAATTGGAGCAAAACATTCCACCTCCTAGATTTGAATCCTCTTGCTATGAAGGCTAATGTAGCATTTGCTGCCTGCTGCATCTCGGACCATAAGAAATAGGAACAGGAGTAGGCTGGTGGCCCTTTGAACCTGCTGCACCATTCAGTAGGATCATGGTTGAGCCAGTGCTCCTCATGTCTACTTTCCTGTCTTTTTCCCATAACCCTTGATGTCCTGCTGATCTAACTACCTCAGCTGCAAATGTACACAAGGACTCTGCCCTGACAGCTCTCTGTGGCAAGAAGTTCCTAAGTTCTCAGCCCTCTGAGAGAAGAAGTTCCTCCTCACTTCGTCTTAAATTGGTGCCCCTTTACCCTGAGACTATGCCCTCTGGTCCTAGACTCTCCCATGAAAGGAAACATCCTCACAGCATTTGCCCTGTGACCCCTCTTAAGAACTCTGTGTTGTAATTGGATCACCTCTCATTCTTCTAAATTCCAGTGAATAGACTCCCAACCTATTTAACATTAGCCTATAAGACAATCCGTTCATAATGGGGATCATCCTAGTGAACCTTCTCTGAACTGCCTTCAAAGAAGTAATAACTTTCCTTAAATAAATGAACCAAAACTCCTCTCAGTACTCTAGGTGTGGCCTCACCAGCATCTTGTACAGTTGCATCTGCATGTTTATATTCAGCAACTAGTATACAAGGATGCCTAGGTCTCATTGCACCTCCTCCTTTCCTCATCTATCACTATTTAGATATGAATCTGCTTTCCTGTTTTTGCTACCAAAGTGAATAATCTCACATTTTGTCCACATTATACTTCACCTGCCATGAATTTGCCACTCAATCAAATCACAGTGGCATCTCAGCATCCTCCTCACACTTCATCCTCTTACCCAGCTTTGTGTCATCTGAAAACTTGAAGATGTAACCTTTAGTTTCCTCCATCTAAATCAATACAATACAAATATCCTTTCATTGTCATATGTGCTCCATTGTAGGAGTACAGTGAAAAGCGTTTGCAATGTCTGCCTCATGGCAACATCTTAGGTATAAGTACCT